AAAAGCCTGCTATGGTGGTTTCAAAACTTGACCATCTAAAATGATCAATTGTGTGACCAATGCGGCTGGAAGGATACCCGAAAAAAAATTACAGTGAAATTTATAGTGGAAACAATGCTCTAACATTAATATTTATTGTCGACAGTACAAATGATTGTTATAATGTTGTACCCTTCCGAAAACGGCAAAACTGCTACCTAGCTGTACAATGAATGTACATAGTAAAATCAGTGCTAACATTTGAAAACGGCGCAAAAGCCATTTGTAAACAAATGGTTTGTGGGCCCTTTACTCGCTGCCCGAAGAACGCCCACGCATACCAACAGCATCGTCAGGAAGGGGAAAATTTCCCCTACCCGATGTTGCTGTTGTGTCGCGTGGGTGTACTTCAAGTAGTGAGTAAAGGGCCCACAAACCATTTGTTTACAAATGGCTTTTGTGCCGTTTTCAAATGTTAGCACTGAAATGTTGTTACAATGATTTTTATTGTATTTTTCATTTATTTTATTGTTAACAGGATTCGATCACGAACAATAATGAACAACTCTATTACAATAAAAATTGTTGTTACATTAAATATTGGTGTGTTTTCATTGTAGGTTACTTCACGAACAATAAAAAGAAATCTGAAGCATGCAGACTATAAGAGGGTCAGTAACACTGCCAATGTAATCAAGATAGGCGCTGCTCGTATGGCTCTTGCTTTGACAGTTCGTTTGGCTCTATTCGTTGCTAAGTCAATTGAACGCCTACGACCAGATCGGTTTGAGTTGAACTCAACTCTCCTACAATAATAATAAAAAATTCCACCACTTGAAGATGTCAGGAAGGAACTCTCAGGTGGAAGCATATTTCATGGGCGATTCTCTCCAGTTGAATGCATTAACTTATCAACGACGCTCAACCACCAAGGAGTCGTGACCTAGAGAGATCGAGTGCAGGGGAGTTGGCCTCCATTTCTCACAAGTTCCGGATCGAATCTCAATCCATAACCAGTAAGCAAATTTTTTTACTATCAAAGAAAGATCTCAGTATGTACACTGGTTTAACAACAGGGCAGTGTCCATGTAAATATCACTTGAAGCTAATAGGAAAACTTCAAGATTATATGTGTCGATTATGTGACCTAGAAAAAGAAGACTCTGAACACCAACTATGCTCTTGTACAGCAATCTTCAATGAGAGGTGTATTTTTCTGGACAAGAGGCTGACAGAACCCTTTGATATTTGGAATTCAGTTCCCAGCCAAGTAGTGCAATTCATTCGAAATGTAATACCTGACTGGGAAAATGCTTTCGGTCAGTCTATGTCGGTCGCTTCATAAAATGGTGAACATTACGACATGCTAATAAAGCAATATTAAAATGGATCTAACTACTGGTCGCAGTGATCAAAATATCCAACACGGAAAAAAAACATCCGAAGTCCCTCTATTTTTACACATTCTGCACACAAAATAGCTTACCCCTGAAATTCGTTCAGTGTTTTTTTTTGCAAACCAGTAACTGAGTTTCAACATTCAAGCAAAATATTCAAACAAAGTTGTGGTTATTATTTGCGGGGTGTTTTCCGAAGAACTGTGTGAACTGTGTTAGAGAAACAAAACGTCGAACTTCGGTAATTCACAATTGAAGAAAAATCTCGAGAAAAATCGCCTGTGATGGGTTGAAGCACCAGCGTTTGATTGCCTCCATGTGGCACAACCCGAGTGGAGAACTGGAAGCAGTCGACTGGGATTTGGCCCTAATTGCCATCGCCCAAGCTTTGAGTAGTGTTCCCAAGGGCAAGTTCGAGCAGTTGCTGGATGATTGGACTAATGCCGAAGCGTTGATTTGCCCTTAAGGATCTGCTGAACTGGTTGGGATCGGAAACTTGTGCGTCGCTGATGTCATCAAGATGGAGGATTTCTTCGTCTTTACCAAAGTCATCACGGTGATGTTAGAGTGCAGCTGATCCACGCCATCCTGCCGGAAGCTACCTGCACTGAGAAACAAGACACCTACGTCAACCCGGAAGGCCACACTCATAAAACTCTCGTTGCAGTGACTCTCCCAGGTCTGTCCCGCGAAGATCCTGCGTACCCTGTCAGAAATTCCCAGAGCTTCTCTGCCATACACCCTATAGATGAACTGCACTTCCGATCGAAGGACATCACTTCGCACCTAATGTGCTATAGCCAAAAGAAAGAAGGATTCAAGAACATCTTCCTGCTGCTGTGGTACAACGCGTTCCACTTTCTTCTGCAGAAGATCGGTTGCAACTCATAGCCATGTCATGTTCCACACCGAAAACCACTCCACCAATGAGATGGGCATTTGGATGAATGAATGTGACCTGCCATCATTTTGTATCGAAGTTCAACTAAAACCTCCCAAGGCCAATTAAAAGATGTTCCAGCGACGGGGTTGAGCAAATTGACTTTCTCCAGGAACAACAAATCCCAGCAGCTCTATGGCATCAACCAGTAGGCAAATCTTTTGTAATTTTCACAAGAAATAAAAATAATTAGTTAGTTGCGCTTCAATGTTTTTTTCATTACAGTAAAGAAAACAAACAATCAGTATCACCCTTCAGATATATCCAGATTAAGCAACCCAAGCTTAAAGTCAAACAATACAAAGTAAGCATAACATGAATTTATACTCGCGTCCTTATACAGGACTTTTATACTAAGTTTGCATTTTCTCCTTTTAAAGGGTGATACGGTCAAAATTTGGTCAAGGGAAAACACGTGTAAATCGGTGAAATCGTTTATTTAAAAAATCAAATTAAATTTCTTTTTCAAGTTCAATTAGTATAAAATTCAGGAAAAATATTCAGTTATGCTTCCGCTTTTCCAAATCCGAATTGCCGGGCCTTACGCTTGACCCCTGCCATCAGATTTTGTACAGCCACCTTGTCCACCTTCTTCGCCGCAGAAAGCCAGTTTGCCTTGAACTGCTGCTCGCCCTTAGCAGTTTTTTTTGGTCTTCTTTAGGTTCCGCTTGACAATAGCCCAGTATTTCTCAATTGGGCGGAGCTCTGGCGTGTTGGGAGGGTTCTTGTTCTTGGGAACCACCTGCACGTTGTTGGCGGCGTACCACTCCATGGCCTTTTTACCGTAATGGCAAGATGCCAAATCCGGCCAAAACAGTACGGAACAACCGTGTTTCTTCAGGAAAGGCAGCAGACGTTTATTCAAACACTCTTTCACGTAAATTTCTTGGTTGACAGTCCCGGAAGCTATGAAAATGCTGCTTTTCAAGCCACAGGTACAGATGGCTTGCCAAACCAGATATTTCTTTGCGAACTTTGACAGTTTCATGTGCTTGAAAACATCTGCTACCTTTCCCCTTCCTTTTGCCGTATAAAACTCCTGTCCCGGAAGCTGCTTGTAGTCGGCTTTGACGTAGGTTTCGTCGTCCATTACCACGCAGTCAAACTTCGTCAGCATCGTCGTGTACAGCCTCCGGGATCGCGCTTTGGCCGTCGTATTTTGTTTATCATCGCGATTTGGAGTCACTACCTTCTTGTAAGTCGATAGTCCGGCTCGTTTTTTGGCTCGATGCACGGTTGTAGACGATACACCCAGCTTATTTGCGGCATCTCGGAGAGAGAGGTTAGGGTTTCGCTTGAAACTACCGGCAACTCTCTTTGTCGTCTCAGCGGCTTCCGGTTTTCGATTTCCCCCCGATCCAGACTTCCTGGCTGTCGACAAACGTTCCCCAAACACTTTAATTACATTTGTAGCGGTTGATTTGGCAACTTTTAGCGATTTTGCCAACTTTGCGTGCGAGTAGCTCGGATTTTCGCGATGCGCGAGCAAAATTTTGATACGCTGCTCTTCTTGCTTGGACGGCATTTTGACAACTGAAGAGTGAATTCCAAAATCAAAATAGGAGCAACATTCTACACACACACACCTTCAAAATGAGGGGTATTCAGGTTTTTAAATGCAAAATTGAAAGAAATACGTCAAGTTGATATTGACCAAATTTTGACCGTATCACCCTTTATACCGAGCTATGCGTCGGTTAGGAGAGTTGCAATTTAGCGTAGCTTTTATACTATTTAGATTTTAATATTTTTTGAGTGTACGGGGCAGAAAGTATCTCGACAGTGAGCATGCATAAGGGCCTATACGCGATGATCGATTCTCTTCGTCGATTTTCTCTTTTGTTAATAACTCGCTAGATTTAACGTTTCTCGGTGCGTTTGCTGTTGCTTTCGATAGCCAATACAACCTGTTACTACTCTGCATTGAACAAATTCTAGAAAATTGTTTCGCCTAGCTGTAGCAATGCAAAGAGAAAATCGATGAAGAGAATCGATCATCGCGTATTCGCCCTTATGAATGTTCACTGTCGATCTTTTGTGCAGAATATGTAAAAAAGGAGGGACTTCGGATGTTATTCAATAAGCATATATAGATGTACCAGACATGTTTCGCAGTGTCAGGTACTCTATTTTGTGGTCTGTGAGAGAGAAATCACAAATAGAACGGAACGGCGCCATCTCTGTGGAAAATGGCCGGACGATATGATTTATTAAGGCTGGCGCACAATGCATAAGTTTCCGGGTGATAATCCTAATAAAAATAACCATAAAAGACAGTTTAACGACGTGTTCGGGGTATCATCCAAACCATTTGTGGGATAGTTTACCCATCCAGGATATAGTTCGTTTATGGTATTTGTTTATTAGGGAATGCATGAGCTAACTGTTAAAAAACCTGAAAACTTATCCATTGTGCGCCATTATTTATCATCATCATTGGTTAGTTTTGAAATAACGTGCAACCAAATAATGTACTTTTTTTAGCTGTTTTTGCTGCAGTGTAGTTGCTCATTCTTATCCCTCACTGGAATACCTTCGTTTTAATGTTGACGTTTCGCTCAAAATATAAACAAAAACAAAATTTACAACGTAAAACTTTCCTTAAGTTTATGGAAATTGTTTAGTCAGTTCAAATTTGGGATTATACTGGATTATATATATATAAAATACTTAAAATAATATAAAGTAATCGTAGTGAAGTACACTTTGCAATGATGGACATCCGGAATGAAGTGAAAACCTCCGATAAGGACTTTGAGAAGAAGAAATTCGTTGTCCGTAATGCAGCGGACGTCCAACGGGCCAAGTTGGAGAAGCTGATGAAGAATCCTGTGAGTTGAATATCAGTTTACCGTTTAACTACTTAGGTTGCCGTAGTTTTTTCAAATAAATACGAATGGAAGAGGTTCACTGGTGGCTTGAACAAAATAAATAATTGTATCAATTTTAGGAAAAACCCGTCATCATCCCCGAGGGACCAAGGGAACGAGATTTTTCTAATGCCATTCCTTCGTTTGTGCGAAATGTGATGGGCTCGAGTGCCGGAGCTGGTTCCGGTGAATTTCACGTCTATCGTCATCTGCGTCGAAAGGAGTATGCCCGGCAGAAGCACATTCAGGAGAAGAGCCGTTCGGAACAGATGGATGATGATTTTCAGGACAGGCTAGAGCAGAACAAGCGAGACACGGAGGAAAAGACGGCGAAAAAACGAGCCAAACGGCTGAAAAAGAAAGTCAAGCAAAAGGCTAATAGGGGCAAAAAACCTAGGAAGGAAGAGGACTCGGATAAGAGCGATAGCGAAGAGGAACAGGACGAGGTGGAGGAGGAGGAGGAAGTGATAGATACATTGAAAGAAGGGGATGGTGAAAAACGGGAGGAGGAGGAAAATCAGGGGAAATCTGAGCAAGATGAGGGAAATTGTGAAAAAATCACTGAAAATGTAATAGCAGAGGAAGAAGGTAAAGCTGAAGGTTGTGAGGCAGAAGAAATACAGCCAACAGAAAAAGAAGAGAAACATGATGATGGTGAGAAGGAAGAATTACAAAAGACACAAAATGTTACTGAAAACAGTAATGACGATGATGGCGAGGATGCTAAAGAAGAAGAAAAATAAATGTAAGAAATTGATGGACGGGAACAAATTATAGTTTTTACTTTTGTTACTCCCATCTCCTATTCAAAATTTATGATATCTCATGGGATATTAAAAAAGTGTGTAATTTGTGTTTTTTATGCTGCGGGGATGAAATGTTGTGCTCTTTCAAAAATTGTAACACGTTTTTTTTTCTAGAGCACAATTCTCGGATAATGTTGCGACCTGTGTACTGCCGAGTCGGTCGATTTTTTTTTGCAGGCCAATAGAAAACTGCTTGACAATTTTCTCTAAAAATAGGTTTGAAATGACTCTAAAAAAGTTCCACTAATTAAAAAAATTTCTTAACGAACGATAACCCAAATCTAGACTAACATTTGAAAAGGGCGGAATACCAAAATCACCATATCAAGAAAATCGCTTACGACCTAAAAATTAATCCTATTTCATGGCTTTCCATTTTCTGGATGATTTTATAAGCTTGACATATAGTTAATAGTGTAATCTATTATCATGCTTACCTTACCAATCTGGCTAAGGCCTTGTTGTCCTCTGCTGTCCGAAGAAGTCGCCTCCACTCTACTCGATCCATGGCCCGAGGGGCACGCAATACAAAGAACCGGTGCGTTGAAGTTAAAATGCAATCAAAAGTACTCAGTGGCGTCTCGTAACCTTACTTTATACCTGTTTCGGAAATAAAAGCTCAACTGAGTTATAAAAACTATGCTGGTTTCTATACTTTCATCACTTAGCCTGGTGGTTTTTTCCTTTGAGCTTTAAACTAAGAATTCGTTATGTATGCATCATTTTTAAGAGATTACAAAGCTTGACGATACATAACCACAGTAACTACATTTGTTGCTTCTGAATGTTTGGCTCCCGTTTGACAGTTCACACTGGCCCCCAAGTTACTAGCACATTCCGTTAGTCCGCAGTACCCGGGTCTACAGTCGAACTTCGCTGGTTGGGCCACCACCTCGGCCCAACTTACGAATTCGGTTCGTTAGTTGGGTCAACTGACAGAAGGGTGAAATTTCTTGAGGGGTGCACGCATTGTTTGTTGTGGTTGTGTAAATTTTACGAAAAGTGGAATTAATGGTACTTGTTCATTGGAAGCGTGATACTCTGTGTAATACTACATACATCGTATTCAAAACAGGTATGTAATAAGTTGAACTTATTGTTATGTTAAATATGTAAATAAATGCTCTCATCTTCAGCAACGCAGACCAGTGAAAGTGATGTGAAACGATGGTTGAATGACAAAGTTATAGACTCTGAGGGAAATGTGCTGTGTGGAACGAGTCAGGTATACACCGACGTTGAGATTGTAACTGGCGTTCTCCGTGGTTTCGATGAATCAGTCTGCATGCAAGAAGAGTGGCTAAACGACACCGACGAGAGTGCTTCAGGCAACGTATCCAGATCTGGGCTAATGACAGTCGATGAGGAACCGACAACAAAGCAGGATTTCGCTAATGTACTGCAATCACTTGACAAGGTCATTCAGTACGTAGAAAACGATGTTTCGGAGGCTACGCGACTCAAATCCTTGAGAACTAAGCTGATTGAAAGTGAGTGACAAAAGTGAAACCTGTAATGTGTGCAATTTTTATTATTTTTGTATGAATTTCAAATAAACATTCATTAAACACAATACGCAATGTAAAATGCATTTGCTCACCCCTAGAAAGAATTGACCCGCCCAACTAGCGGAGGCCCAAGTAATAAAAGCCCAACCAGCGAATTCCGACTGTATTTGAAAAGTTCCCGCATAAACGCGAACCATAAATTGACCTTACCTAAAATGGTTAAAAATTGTTTATAATCCCTGCTAAACTTTAACTGAAATGGTTATGGAACTTTACATGAACGTTTAATGATAAAGTTTCAACCTTATGTATTATGGTTTTTTGAAACTGGACCTTACAAATAATGGGTTGTTAAGAACCATTACCGTTCCAAATTCTTGTTTTCTCCATACATTTTCGGAAAGAGAACTATATTAGAACCTTTTAACTTATGGTTTGAGAACTTTAATGGTAATGGTTATGGTAGTCAGTAAGGTCCACGAATGGTTTTGTAACATCAATCAACTTTATGTGGAATATATCGCGAATTGGTTGCCTGTAATTTACTGATTACCAATTCACGATATATTCCACGTAAAGTTGAGTGATAATACAAAACCATTAATGGACCTTACTGACTACCATAACCATTACGATTAATGTTCTCAAATCATAAGTAAAAACGTTCTTATATAGTTCTCTTTCTGAAAATGTATGGAGAAAACAAGAATTTGAAATGGTAATGGTTCTTAACAACCCATTATTTGTAAGGTCCAGTTCCAAAAAACCATAATACATAAGGTTGAAACTTTATCATTAAACGTTCATGTAAAGTTCCATAACCATTTCAGTTAAAGTTTAGCAGGGATTATAAACAATTTTTAACCATTTTAGGTAAGGTCAATTTATGGTTCGCGTTTATGCGGGTTGAGCAAGCATTCTTGATTGTTGCCCCCGTCGTTTCGACTTCCAAAATAAAGCCAACCCGAGATGCAACCCTGAAAATGGCACACCTTCTTCTCGATACATCAAAAGCTCAAGAATCGCACTTTGCAGACATGTCAAAATCAAAACTGTCACATGTGCGATTTGAAAACATGCGAGATCGTTTTTGTCTAAGAGGGTTTTTGTGTTTACGGTGTTTACATCGTGCTGGATCAGATTTTTACCGCATGTTGCATAATTTTCGTTCGAAAAACGCGAATGAATTAAACAAGTTTCGCCGCTTTTAGTTTGCAAATCTTGTACATTTAACTGGCCCTAGATGCTGGTTGTGAATTCTTCCTACTAGGACGATCAATTTCGCATTACCATTTTGCGAGATTGATTGCGAAATTATTGGTGAAGAGTGTTCCATCGTGCGTTGCCGTTGTCTTCTTGATTTGACAGCTTTCGGCTGCTTGCAGTGGTAGTAGTGCGGAGTGTCTCCAACCGCGATGTAATATTCCTTCTGGTGTGTGCTCGAGCTCGCAGTTGGATTCTCCCGTCGCGTAGTGAAGGTAGTGATTTTATTCCGTTCTTGAAACACGCGATACTCGGTTGTGGAATCCTCCATCCAAAGGAGGACAAAGTGTGAGTGTGCGATTCCGCAAGAAGGATTGTTCCTGCTTCCTGGCTGTTCGGGGTAGCTTCCGAAAAAGTGCAGAAAGGGTGCATGTGTGGTTGGAAGGTGTGACTTTGGGAGTGAAATTACGTGAATAGATAGTGCAGGATTTTTCCGCAAGGAAGCACCGAAGAAACGATGGCACTCGGAACGGAGAAAGTCGAACAGGATTCGGTGGCGGTACCGGTTGCGGCCAAAGGTGGACCGACTGCCAACGCGGAGCCGAAGAAAAAAGGTTAGACATTCATCCATTCTTTCACACTACTAGCATATTACGAAAGTCTTGTTCGCCCTCGCCGTACGGGAAAAGCCGCTCCGGGCCGCAAAGATTTTTCTGTCGGCTTGAATTTTGTGGATGGATTAATAGCTATCCGTCCATCGATTGCTAATCGATAATCACAATGACCAAGGCTGGCTTTCCTCCCTCGGTGGGAGAGGATTCCATGGGCCTGGAATCGATTTGGAACGTATTCGGGAATAACACATGCAGCAGCAGCACACGGGTAGTCATATAATCAGTTACGTAATGACCTCCCGTAACTCGTCGCGGCGAACCGAGCAGCGCGCTGCTATTGCGGTTCAGAAAATGTTTGCTCTCATTCTCTGTGCGGTTGGTTGTTTGGCTGGATTCCGGGTGAAGAGCAGCGGCGCCTTATAAAAGTTCCTTTCGGCGATGGAAGGACACCGTTGTTATCGATTGAGGAATATAGAGGAAGAACCATGGCATGTCCAATTGGCAAAACAAAGAAACCTCGGAATCAAAATAATTTTCGTAGGATGAACTGGTGGAGGTGATGAAAAAAGTCTGTATGGAGGGAGTAGCTCTCTTTTGCCTACGGGAGAGAACCCGGAGAGATGTGTGACTTGGGTTCTCGCTCTCTGTCTGTTCGCACATACACAATGCAGTCACCTGAACCATAGAACCTCTGTGGTGTATTACAAGGCGGCCAGCAGAGAAACTGTGCATGTACTAGAATGATGTAAAACATTGCTTTACAACTTTTGACATTTTATTGTAACGATCGCTGATAAAGGTTAACTAAACATCAAGGCGATTTTGAAAAGATAACTTTTTGAATATTTTTAATTTTATAAGCATTGAGTACCTATTGCGGAAATTACCCTATTAGGAGATATATGCTGAATGCTGACCAGGATTATGACTTAATTAGTCTGATTGATTGAATGATTCTGCTTGAATCTCTGAAGGCAATCTTCTTCAATAGTTAAAGGAGCACCGAGAGTTTTATTATCGAGATATTCAGCCGCAGGCTGGTTGATCTCCCGTTTAATGGTAACAGGGAGAGGGCGTTTGAAAGATCCAGTGAGGCAATTGAATAATAAATAGTTACAGTAGTTAGTTCATGGCAAATTACATATTATAAAAATGTAAAACAAAATCGTAATCCGTTAAACGTTGGCAAATGTGATAACGATGATAACAATATTGATGTTAGGAGAATAGTCCATTAGATGTTTGCAGGATGATCAGTTGTGAAATTGCAAGTCTTACAGCGTGGACAGAAGAACTTTTTCAAATTTGTGTGTAGAGTTCGGTGTCTTTCAGAAAGCACAGCAAGGCAGATTCGTATAAGGGATCGTTACTTAGAACGTCTCGCACTCCAGCGTGGATACCATACAGACGTCGATGATCTTCAAATTCAAATTTACAAGTATGTGTTCTACTGATTGTTCTGTCTGGCATATATCGCACCGTTTGTGTCTGTCCGGTACTATGGAATAATCGTGGGTGGCTCGAGTTTGACCCGTTCTTAGACGCGATAGGATTCGTTGGTCTTTCTAGCGGGGCTGATCGGTCCATTTATTGATGTCACCTTTCACCTTTCGGAAAAATAGCCATCTTTCTTGTTGCCAGCTCCGGGCCCAAGCATCTTGGATGATTGCTGTTTTGACGTCGTCAGCTGGCGTTTCATTGGTATAAAAACTTGACTCCCGACCGACAGACGCCAGATGGTGAGCGGTTTCGTTTCCAGCTATTTCGCAGTGTCCGGGTATCCAGGCAAATCGAATAAAATCTTTCTCTTTTTAGAGCATCATGGATACACTTGGAGAACATTTTTGATATTATAATTCCTTTGCTTTCCCGGAGACTTTTGGCATAATAGACTTCCAAAATGATACCTCAGGAGTGTATTCAGATCACCGACGTATTACGATATTGGTTAAAAAAAAACAAACTTGTATACTTGTTTAAAACTTGTATACAGTGAAAAATCAGTAACCTGGTCTTAGAAAAGTTTTGAAGATTAGTGACTTTAAAGTTAGCGGCGCCGGTGGTGTAGTGGTAAGCGTGATTGCCTCTCACCCCAAAGGGCCTGGGTCCAGGCAAGTAAAGCCGTTGGCACCCGGTCCATGAGTTTGATGGGTCGATAGGTAGGGTTCAGGTGTGGGAGCTGCCTCCCTGACGTCGGTAGCATTGGTATTCAGTACGGAAAACAAGATAGACGGAAAACAAATCAAGGAAATAAAAGTGACTTTAAGGAATGTTCATGATTTCGGTCTTATGAAAAATGTCAATGCCGCGGAATAATTTAATTTTAAATATCCTGACTTTTTATGGTTCTAAGGTTCTATGTTTAATTTGGTGCGCTTTGATTTCACTATTTTTTTTAATTTATCGCCATGGTAAGAAAAACATGACATAAAAAGTAATTAAAATGCATAGGGGAAATGGATGTAACGTCGGCCTAAATGCCCTAATTTGGGCCCATACATAAATTCAGCAATCGACTAAATTTTCAATAGCGACTAAACATAGCCATTAGTACCGTCGCAATGACGCGTTCATCTAGATAAAGTTGACAAATAGCAGATTTTTAGCGATGGGTCCAATCTTAGATCCATAGGCAGGGCTGGTAGCAATCACTGCTGTCAGAAATAGTGATTTTAGTGACCGTGTTGAATAAATAAGTGACCAAATAGTGACTTATAGTTGTAAAAATAGTGACTAAAAAGTGACCTAAGACCTAGAAATTTCCAAGAATCGGCATTCAAATTCCATGAACAGTTTTAAAGACCCGAGGAATTTTATTAAAATTTCGAGGTAGTTCTGAGGAATTTTAGATTTCTTATGAAGCCTTATTTTTGAGTAGAATTTCAAGAAATCTTAGGAATTTCTTAGGAGCACAACTCTTGTGAACTTCACCGGAGAATTCCAAGGGCATTCTGAGGATAATTTCATAAAGTTTATGGGAGAAAACGAATCCGGAGCAGAAGTCCTTGGCATCTTTATGAAAATACTACTTCAGCATTACAATTAAATCTGAGAATAACTCCAGAACATGTTCAAAGGAATTCGGAAAATAAATTCAGAACAAACAAACAAATTATGAGAAGAAATCTAAGGATTTTCTGAGGAGAAATGCCAATGAATTGTTAGGAGACTTTCTATGTAAGTAGAATTCTAAGGGAAGGAGTGAGATTCAAAAAGAAATCTGGAATGAATTCAATGAATACTCGGAGAATCTTTCCAAAGAATTTCTAACTGTGGAGAATTTCAAAGTAATTCCGAGGAAAACTAAAAGAAAATTTAATTTTGAAGATAGCTTCATCGAGATTTTGAGGAAATCTCCGTTAAATATGGAATGAACTATTTTGAGGTCTTCAGAATCACTTGAAAATTCTCAATTTTTTCCGGAAGTTAATGAAACTGCCTTGAAGTTCTTTTGTAGTTTGATAAACTAGCCTGATGCTCACAATACTTCTCTTCAAGTTCTGAAGTTTCTTCAATTTTTCTAACGATCATGGATCTTCTTTAAAGGTTTAACAATTCACTGAAGTTCTCTAAACTTCTTTAAAATTTATGTGACTTCTCTAATGTTGACGGAACTGGTCTGAGGTTCTCCGTTCTATTCTGAAATTCCCAAAACTTCTTCAAAGATTTTGCAGTTCTCATGAAGCTTGTTGTACTGCGCTGAATTTAGTTAAATCGTCCTAAAAAAGCTTCAGTAAACTTCTGAACTTCTGCAAAGACCTCAAAAAATAATAATTTTTAACGTCTCTGAAGTTATCTTAAAATCTAGGAATTGCTTTAATTTTCAAGCTTGCGGATCTCATCTCATCAAGCTCCATAGATTTCTATGAAGTAATGTTTCTGAAGACCACTGCACAGTGGTCCAGAATGCAGATTTAGGTGGAATGATATGTTTTGAGCCTGAAATTGAAACTTTAGACTGAAAGTCTCGTCTACAAAGTTGTTCCTTATAGTTAGGCCCTCATTTTGATGACAATGAATTCTAGGGTGGTTCCTATTATCATTAAAATCAAAAATCTAATTTTTTTTGTTTGAATACATTAAGGTATACATTCCTGCGCAAAGTTATAGCTGAGCTAATTTCAAGCAACCTTGTTGAAAATAACTTTTTTGTATTTCTTAAATTGGGCGATTTAGAGCTATTTACTTGAATTGAGTTAGGGTGGCTCTTAAAAAAACAGTTTTTTTGCTCTAGTTTTCTTATTTCGAATTTCTCAGCAAAGGTGTCTTCAAATAACTTTTAGATCTTAAGAAGGCGCAAATTTTTGCTGCACAAAGTTTGTCAATATCTTTCGCCGATCAAGAGTTATTGACGTTTTTATACTAAAAATATGCACTTTTCAAATGTTAATTTATTCAAACAAAAAAGTTAGATTTTTTATTTTAATGATAACAGGAACCACCCTAGAATTCATTGTCATAAAAATGAGGGCCTAACTATAAGGAACAACTTTGCAGAAGAGACTTTTAGTCTAAAGTTTCAATTTCAGTCTCAAAACATATCATTCCACCTAAATCTGCATTCTGGACCACTGTGCATTGGCCTTCTGTGAAGTTTCCGAAGTTTTCTAAATATCTAAATTTCTGGAATTTAATGGGATTGTTCTGAAGCTATCTGATCGTCCTCGAAGTACTCGGAACTTCGCTGAATATCATTAAACGGTCTAAAAATATCTAAATTTAGTTCTCTGGAATTTCTTGAAGATATCGCTGCTTGCTAAAAGTTCTCTTCCTTGATGTTCTTTGATCAATTTAGCTAAATTTTCACGTTTTCAGAATGTGCATATAATTTTGATCACGTTCCAGATATTCGCTCGGAGCTTTGCAGAAGTTTCCGGAAATTCTCTGAGTTTCTCAAAACTTCTTTAAGGTTTCTACAATTTCCTTGAAATTATTTGAACTGCCTTTTGATTATCTGATCTGTCTAGGTGTTCTCGAAGCTCCCCTAAAGCGCTCAAGCT